AGTCTATTAAGAAAGAAAGGGAGGAATCAACCAATGATGCCAGTTCAGCTGATAAGTAGAACATCTGACACATCTTATGACCAATATATATACATATACACATGGTACTATGGGACCATAAAGGATGGTTTCAATTAGAATGGGTGACGGGACAGGTATGTGGAAGGGGTTATACATTTTGAGTAGAAGCTGATGAGGGAGGCAGGGAAAGACATTCAGACAGAAGAGCCAGCAGCACGGGTGATCATCACTCAGGATTACCCAGAGTTCTACCATCACTGCCATGTGGAAGCGGACCCATACAAAGGCACGCACTCTCCTAAAATCTGAAAGGAATATAGCGGGGCAATTAATACTGGGCTGAGATGCCTATGTATAATCCACACCCAGGAAAACATTCAACCAAGTGCTGAAGGTTTTGCCCAGAACATTCATAGGTCTGTTAGGTCAGACAGGTAGTAAACTGAGGCAGGGAGAAGGAGGGAAACATGTCTCATTCCCTGACTCAGTGGTCCTGAACCCCGTCTAATAAGATCGCCAGGCGTTCCAAGCGTCACAAGCATAGAGAGCATAGGAGGAAGGGTGTCCTTGAAACTCCGTGTCCTGGGAAAGGGAGCCTCTGTAGCAACTTCGTTGACTGAGACAGAAGAGCCTTTACTAGCTGAGAAAGAAAGACTTTGTAACTGTCCATTATTCCCAAGGTTTAGAAGGGGGAGAAGGCGGGGGAACCTAGAAGCTAAGGAGATAGCTCCTGAAGTCCCAAGGGCGGGCGCACTCAGATTTGCTGAGTGACCAATTGTAGCCAGGTGCTCAAATGTATAGAACACACTTACTAACAACTTTATTTCCTCTGTACATGGGGCATTCAGCCTAGCTGGGTGCCTGCTTGTAGCTTTGTTTCATAAATAAACTTGCTACCTCATTTTCACTCTACATGTCTCTCACTCGAATTTTTCTCTTGCGAGCAAGACAAGAACCAAGGTGGGGAGCCTCCTGACTCGGGTCTCCTGGTCACAGGGCTTCCATGGCAAAATGATAAGAAGCCACTCAAGAGACTCTAATAAAAACATGCAGTTATACGAAAGAACTCAGAAAATGTGGACATGTGGATGCCAAACTTGGAAGAGGGCAATTAGGAAATAGAAAGCTCAGTGCAGGCAGAGAGGTTAAGGGGGAGCAGGGTGTCAGGACTCCTTGGTTTTAGCTGCAAGGAGTTATTCCTGCCATTTTTGTGGTCTAGAAAAAGGAGAGGGCAGGTGAGATATTTAAAGAGTGGGGTAAGTTAGTCACGTCGAGGCTGATGGAAAATTAGAGGAAAAAATAGGCAGGAGATATGGGGTAGTCCCTAGTGAGGACATGCATCCATTGTTGTTTCTTTAAGTTCTACGTGATGTAAATAGGCTGAGATACTGCAGGAATTGCATCAATGGAAAGTCAACCTTAACAGCAAGAACAAACGCTAAAAGAGAAAGGGAGGGAGATAGGATATTGTTTGTTCTGAGTTAGCTCTAAAACAAAGGATAAGCTAAGTGCTGTAACAATAGCCACAAAATGTTTTGGTGGCATCACCCAGTTGGATCAATTCCTTCCTCACAGCACAGTCCAACGGTGGTTGCTTGGAAGGAAGAAATTTCTGCTGCACAAAGTTATTCAGGAGCCACTGGATGGAGGAGAGGGAGTGCATGGAAAATCATCACATGGAATGCCCACTGGAAATCCTGTTAACGGTTCCAGGGGCCCAGCCTGGCAGCGGCTTACCAAACGTGCACCCGCCTTCCCTTGGCCAGGCTCAGTCACCTGTTGCTTACCAAACTGCAGGTTAGGCAGGGTCACGTGATTTTAGCTGTGTGCCCAGGAGGAAAGGAAATGGGGCTGGGGAAGCCATAGTACTGTCTCCGCCTCGATGGGTACAGACTGTCCTTTGTCAGAGATCAGGCTGAGTGAGTATACTGACCACTTCAGGCAGTCGGGAATAGGAAAAGGGCCCATCCAGTGAAGGCTAAATGTTGAAGAAGGGCATGTAGTTAAAGGCAGAAAAACACTGTTGGCAAGCAATGGTGTAAAGCAATACTGGAAGGGAATGGATATTCGTTCTGAAGCCTACCCCCAGGGACAATTTTAAAGGATGACAGTTTGAGTCGAGGAGTAAAATTTGAGAGAAAGCCTGTATTATGGTGCTAAAGAAGTAACCAAGAGGACAAGAAGGAAGATGATACACCAACTGGCACCAGTAGAAAATGTAACATACATATAATTGACTCCCAGTCACTGCTCTGCTAACCGTCTTCTGTACATGCTCCTCACACGAGGAAACTGTGGATTTCAAAAACAATTCAAAACACTGTGGGACACAGAATGTGATCAGCCCCAGGCACTCACACACAAAAATCTACAAAGAGTTCTAGACCTCGAATTAGCCTCAGGATAGACGGGGCTTGCGCCTCCTTAGACAGAAGCAGCCCCACACCCCAGCCAGGGACAGCCTCGGACACCCCATCTACGGCAAAGGGGAAACAGAACTGGACAGCTGTCATAATAAGTAGAACACGGGACGCTCTATCCTCTCGTCTCTTTCACAAATGCTAATAACAGGTAACACTGATTGAAAGCTCATTATGTTCCAGGTATTGTGTTTGCACACACGAACTCACAACCACTCAGTGAGATGGGTATTATTTTATCCACCTTTTACAGATGGAGGAACTGACACCCAGAAAAGTTAAGTAACTTACCAGAGTTACCCAGATCAAAAATGTTGAAATAGAATTCAAGCTAGTTGGCTCCCAGAGTTCGCTTTTGATGAATATATTCTGCTTTTGGCGATACTGTGTTTCTTCTGTGCAAAAGCAGGCAGGCTGGGGTAAGACATAACACACAAATAAAACAATTAGCGAGTAATATTTTGTGATGAAAATAAAAGTTAGGTTTCTCTATCATCATCACCCTTTGAGTTAATTGGCCTATTTCTTACTTTTTAATTGGTAATTGCCAAAAGCTTATGAAGAGCGGGTGTATTTTCCTTAGTTTACTTTTTGCTTCTCTTTCCAGAACTCAGAGTCAAGGTGTTTCCTGCTTTGTATTTCAAAGGGTGGGTGCGTGGTCCTCAGGGCACTGATTCCCCCTTGTGATCACTCAAGCCATGAGTCTTTTATTCTGGCACATAGGGAAGGGGATGGAAAGGAGATTCAAAACGTTGTATGTTGATATTTTAAACTTTGGGCCCTGTGTTTTGAAGCCCTGAAAATATTTCGTGGTAATTATCCTTTAGAATGTTGAAGAACAGCCTGTGTCTTCTGCTGCCTGGAGCAACAGTACAGGATAGGACAGGTAGGACAGAACACAGCATTCCAAGCAAATACGTTGTAAATGTTTGTGCACCAGATGGGATCTTGAGATGGACGGAAGGCCTTTTTAAAGGCTATTCGCCAGTGAAGCACTGAGCTGCTTTCCATGAGTCCCTCTCAGACACCAGCAGCCAACTCTTCACATCCCTCCTCCCTGAGATTCCCGAAGTCCTGGCCGTAACCAGCGCAGTAATTCACTTCTTAATCTTTGACACCATTTCTTTAATTCTCTTGACTTCAGGGCCAAAATTTGTTTATTTTTTACAGCAAATATTAAAAAAAATATCATCACAACCTGTGGTCAGTTCTAAGAATGGCAACTTGGAGTCTCCAAAGTGAATCCCACTGCAGAGGCGTAAAGACTCAATCCATCTCCTTAACTCTCTGAGCATAGTTCTAGCCACCTGTTTGTGGTCAACCAGTGGCAACTGTTTCTGTTTTTATTTTTGCCCATGGAATCCATTGTCCCCAGGCACCGTGAAAGGGGTCCAGATTGCAAAGTGGTGTAGAGCACAAGCCAATCCTCGAGGCCTTTGCTTTGTAAGGAGGAATAAAGTCAACACAGGTTTGTAATAAAACAGGAAAAGAGACCAAAGAGCATGTACCAGCTGCCAAAGGGGCTCAAAGGGGAGGGCCAGATCCCTCTGGGGAAAGAGCCACCTTCACCGCAAAGCTGCCGGAACCATCTTGAGAGGGCAATCAGGTGTTTAAGGACTCTTTAAAGCTGAAAGTCATAAGCTTCTTAAAACCGCAAATCTAGAAATTCATGGGTATGAAAGTTATCTTTCTGCATCCAATATCCAGAGTGCCTTCATTCATGAACTTTCCATCCAAAAATGCAACCATTAATTACTCCGGGACACACTTCTCCCGCAAAAGCATACAAAAACTCCTTTAGCAAAGAGTGCTGGGGCTTAGAAAACACCAGGATATCCTACTAGCAGCGTTTGTGATGCACCCCTTTCACAGACAGAAAAGCAGAGGCTAAAATCATTGGCCTAGTCAGGAAATGGGCTGGCCAAGGCCCAGGCTTCTCAACCCAGTGCCAGTGCCTGGACAGAGATGAGCCTAACTCACTAGGTGCGATTTCAAAAGTGAATGTGCCTGGTAGGAAAAGGTGTGGGGCACCGGGGCCAGCCCAGGGGCCATGGGGCACCCAGGCTCTGGGTGCCCCAGCAGGGCCCCCCAGGTGCCTGCCTCCAACAGCGGCGCTCCCCGCAGTGCCTGGGGTGCACTGGGGCTCCTTCTCCATCCCCAGATTCAGCTTCCCTGCTGGAGCCCGTATTCCCTGAACACAGGCCACTGGCTGGCGGTGCCCTCAGATACACTCTGCTTAGAGGAGCTCGGGGGTGCGGGCCAGAGCGCAGTGGCACACGGCAGAAGCACCGGCCTCTCAGAGGGTCCCCAAAGCACTCACACCTCCGCTCTCGGAGCAGCGGCGCGGGTGCGCGCGTGTCCGTGTGTCTCCGTGCCCTGGGACTGAGCAAGGAGGGGCGAGCAGGCGCTGGAAACCCCGCCCCTACTCACCTCCCTGCCAGCAGAGATTGACAGGGCTTGGGCACCTGCCCCAACCAATGAACGCGTCCCAGGGCGGGCCCTGGAACCAGCGACTCCAGCTACTTAGAGTCGTTGTCTCAGCCGTTGGAAACCAGAATCCAGTCGGGACTGTGCAGGTGGATCAGGCGCCCCAGCCCAGGGTGGACCGCAGACTCACCGGCACCTCACGGAGCGCCGCACGGCACCGTTCCGCGCGGGGCAGAGCGGAGCCGCGGCCGCATACGCTGACCAAGACCCACTTGCAACCACTGCCTCCGCAGCACCCATGGGGACCGGCAGACTTTAAAGGAGTTTGGGGTTTCGGGAGCAGGGAAATCACGGGTACGGAAAGCCGGCTTTCTTTGCCTTGGAGACGTTTTTTCTTCGATTGTTTGGACCTTGTGCCCGGTAGGAGGGAGAGGGTTTGGGGGGTTGAAAGTGGACCTTCCTACACAGTCCACGCGCATACCTTCTCCCGCACACATGCACCGCACTGGCTTCCCCCTTCCTTCCCTTGCCTCTTTGTTAGGTTATTTTAGACAGAGCAGCCTCGCCCTGGCGCAGCGCGATGGACTCTGCTGGGCAGAAGGCAAGAGAAGTAAGGGACAGAGCGCACCTGCCTGTGTGGCCAGGTGTGCCCGGGTGCGTGGGTGTCGGTGCCTCGGCGTGGGTGCGAGTGCAGGACTGGTATTGTGTACGAATGCGGGGGCCTGAGTGTGTCATCGCGAAGGCTTGCCATTGTGTGTATCTGTGACATTATCACACCAGCGTACCGGCCTGTGTCTAGACTCCAAGTGTGCAAAATTGTGCTGGTGACAAGTGAGTGCCTGCGAATGTGTCCGACTGTCATTGTGCGAGGCGCCGTCAGGGGAGGAGTGCGACCTCGTGTAAAACTGAGAGGTGGGCTGGAGAGGGCGGGGACAGCAACGGGAGCGGAGCTTGCTCCGAGCTCGGGGCCTTAGGCTCCTCTCCCTTCCAAGGGGCCCCTCTGTCCTTTCCTAGGAGTCGGTCTCCCGCGCTGCCACCACCCGCACGGTCCTCCCCACTGGGACCCCACACGCCCCCAGCCTGCCTGCCTTTTCTCTCGTGGGAGTTGGAGCCGGTTCCGGAAGGGTCCGAGGCCAGGCTGTGTGGTGGCGTCCGCTCTCGCTAGTCAGAAGGGTGGCTTCTTTTCCTGTCCTGCCCCAGGGGAGGCACAGGAGACTCCGCTGGCGAGGTGACTCCAGGAAGGTCTCGTGGGCGGGCGGGCGGGCAGGTCCCAGGGGCGCCACACGTCCTGGGGAGGGACAGCTCGACTCTGACCCTATCTCTGCCTCTCCTCTGATTCCGCAGATCCCCGCTCCGGGCCCTGGCCTCGCCGCGTCATTGATGGGCAACCAACTGGACCGCATCACCCACCTCAACTACAGCGAGTTGCCCACAGGGGACCCGTCTGGGATCGAGAAGGACGAGCTGCGGGTCGGGGTCGCCTACTTCTTCTCGGATGAGGAGGAGGACCTGGACGAACGTGGCCAGCCCGACAAGTTTGGTGTGAAGGCCCCCCCGGGCTGCTCTCCCTGCCCAGAGAGCCCGAGCCGCCACCACCACCACCTGCTGCACCAGCTGGTCCTTAACGAAATCCAGTTCTCCGCGTTTCGGGGCCAGGAATGCATCTTTTCCAAAGTGAGCGGTGGCCCTCAGGGCGCAGACCTGAGCGTCTACGCGGTCACTGCGCTGCCAGCGCTCTGCGAGCCCGGCGACCTGCTGGAGCTGCTGTGGCTGCAGCCGGAGCCCGAGCCGCCGGCGCCAGCCCCGCACTGGGCCGTCTACGTGGGCGGCGGGCAGATCATCCACCTGCACCAAGGCGAGATCCGTCAGGACAGCCTGTATGAGGCGGGCGCGGCCAACGTGGGCCGGGTGGTGAATAGCTGGTACCGCTACCGCCCGCTGGTGGCCGAGCTGGTGGTGCAGAACGCCTGCGGCCACCTGGGCCTCAAGAGCGAGGAGATCTGCTGGACGAACTCGGAGAGCTTCGCCGCCTGGTGCCGCTTTGGCAAGCGGGAGTTCAAGGCGGGAGGGGAAGTGCCGGCCGGGACGCAGCCTCCGCAACAGCAGTACTATCTCAAGGTGCACCTGGGTGACAACAAAGTGCACACAGCCAGGTTTCACAGCCTGGAAGACCTCATCCGCGAGAAGCGCCGCATTGATGCCAGTGGTCGCCTGAGAGTGCTCCAGGAGCTCGCCGACCTGGTGGACGACGGCAAGGAGTAGCCTGGGGGCGTGGCCTGCCCTTCCTGTCTCCCCTCGCGCGCGCGCCCAGCTCCCCTCCCAGCACCAGGGCTCCCCAGCTGACAGTTCACCACCCTAGTCCCCTCGCCGGCGTCTGCCGCAGCGGGGGGCCAGTGCCCAGCTGCACCCCAGCACCCCTCGAGCAAGTGGCAGGAAGTCTCAGGAACTGGCCTCGGGAATGGGACTGCGAGGGCAGCTGTACGCGCCTGGCTGAGACCCCGAGGGGGCGGTAATCCTGTTGGGAAGCCCAGCGTGGGCTTTCCCTTTGAGTTAGTTCTAAGGGGGAAAGGAGAATGGACTAAGGGGAGCAGGGACTCGACCGTCCCTGCGAGTCACTGCCCAGAGACTGTCACCCCACCTACTGGAAAGGCACCATCCCCGCCCCAAACGCGCGCACCAGGACGGGCCGGAGGTGAGAATTGGTATTTTCAGGGCGCAGTTCAGCTCCTCTATGGATGTGTCCCCACACTGCAGGATTTCCAAGAAATCGAGCCTGCCCCTTTTGCACTTGGGACTCGTTCCACAAGCGAGCACCTTTGGGACTCGGGATTATCCCCAGGCAGCCCGCGACTGTTCCAGCGCTCCAGCCCCAGGTCTCCCCACATTGTACTCCAGGCTCCAGGCTAAGCTAGATAGTGTTTGCTTCCTTTTCTTTCCACCGAGGGAAGAGCACCGCCCCCTACCTCCCAGGCACGAGGGAAGCCTTCCCCTCCCGGAGGAAAATGGCGCAGCTAATTTGGTGAGGAGCCCGGCCCTGCCCCGGAGGGGGGGCGAGGGGGGGCTTGGAGAAGGTGGTCCTGGTGTCTGGGAACTTGAATTTGTGGAGAAGGGCACTTGTTCTTAACCCTGAATTGCTCCCTCCTTGGGCTGCATTTCAAAAGTAATCACTTTTCTAAAGGGGTTGCAGGAGAGGGAGGGGAAGGTATGGCAGCATTCCAGACACCAGCACTAGCGTAGCACCATAGCCAGCGTATTTAGTTTGGCTTTTCCTAACGTGGAAATCTTCAAAGGTGGGGAAGTGGAAATAAAGTTTTAAAAATGAGGGGGCAGTTCCCCAACTATGTCAACAAAGCCGACCGTGTTGATGTTTTTATTGACCATTTTAGCAACATGCTAATAAAATTTCAAATTGAAATTTTTATTTTCATGGCTTTAATCCATGATAGTTTAAATACTGGGGGCCATTAAGGGTGGACTTAGCTACCAGCTTAGCTAACATTGCCTTTCGCTCTGTTTTTTCTCAAATCCTTTGAGAATTCTGTCTGTGAATATTGTAGTTATTTTTTCTGGCTTTAAATGGCAGCCCTCCCTGGTCACGGTGGAGTTGTTAATGGGTGTGCCTATTGTGCTGAGTTTCTGTCAGTGGAGGGGTTTCCCGCTTTGGTGGAAGTTGCTAGCAGGTTCCATGGTGTTTCTTTTCTCTGTGTTGTAAACTGTTACCATTCCACATTTCGAGGTCTAGTTTTCTTCCTCTCTCCTTGAGCTTCTTAAAAAAAGGAAGCTAGAGTTGGTGGCTTTTGCCCCTTCTCTGTGGCCACTCCCAGAATTCATTCCTGAACGTCAGAAAAGACTTGTAAGATGAGAACAAGCGTGCATCTTTCAAAACATTGCAGCTGTTTGAAACCCCTTCCTTGGGCAGGGATTTAGCAGCTTCTCTCCCTGGGCCGCAGCCCCCAGCCTGGCTATTAATTCAGTGTGTGTCAGACATCTACAGCAAGGACGCCGCTTTCCAGGGAATTTGTCAAATGATGGTGTTTAGCTAATCATTGCAAGCAGTTGCCGATCGACAGCTGTGATTTAGTTGGACAGCAAATATTATGGCCAACGCAGTCTCTTGGCATTTCAAAAATAATGCAATAAAAACTAGTCGAGATTAGCTGAGGCTGGAAATGCCTTTTTCATGGTAAATGACTCATTTGTTTTGTGTTTTGATTTTCATCCTGGATTCATTCCCTGATCTTGAATCAAAAGGTCAGATCAATGGAATATGAACTAAAGTATTTTTCTTAAGCTTATTGAGTGCTTTATTTTTTAAAAAGAAATGTTTAACTGCATAATGCTTTTCTTTCAGCACATACAATGACAAAACTTTTGTACTAACTCACTCGCCTTTGCATGTATGGAGCACTGAACGTCATAGACTTCCCTCACGTACTCCCCTTTCAAATCACAGATGGCAGGTCACCAGCCGCGATCCTTTATTGTATCTGCACACCCCACGTTCTTTGCTGTGCCCTCCTACTGTATCTTGGCGCTCTGCTGTATTAAACACCATCCTGAGCAATTGTTCCAACAGGACTCCTTGACATTTTGTCTTCCACCTGTCACTCAGAGGATGGGACTTCAGCAAACGCAATGAGTCTGTCTCTATCACACCTAGCGCTACAGTTTATTTCCTCTGATGGCACATAATCTGATTTGTCTCTTATGAACAGGGTCACGATGACAGAGGAATGGCTTAGCAGCTTTATACGTGCCCAAACGAGTCCGGCAATAAAAATGAGTTTGGCAGCCACAGAAGCATTCATTACGATATCATTCTATTAAGAATTGGGTTGATGATGATACTTCTACAAATTCACACAGTATAACACTGGTTACAGAGGGAACTTAAAGGTGGTGTAAGGTTTTTCATATTCCAATTGAAATAATCACGGATTATCTGTCGGTCAATGTTAATAATAGCCAGCAGCAGAATAAGTCTAATCATAGTGCACCGTGGAGAAGATAGTATCAAAATCTTATCTAATAGCTTTGTCCTGAAAAGCATGGGTATTTTAGGGTGTTATTAATGGTGTGAGTGAAACCCAGAAGGTAGCAGTTCCCTTGGAAGACAGCGTGGGCACACTTGATTTTTATTATGAGTGAACATAATGCCCCTGGATTTTACCAGGGTTACAGACATTAAGCCTAAAGCCTCCTGACATTGAATAGAAGTCAGGAATTTAGATTTGGTTTCCATTACCCTCAAAAGGACAGAGGTTCCTAGGAACATGGATGCTGTGCTAAGCGCAGCTGAGCTGGAGATGGGTCCAGCCCCCGTTCCAGCAGAGACGAAAACTATCCTGAAACCTCCGTCCTCTCTCCGCTTTCAGAGCATCATTCTGCAAAGCAAGCTACTAAAAAATATATAAGTATTTTTCTCCAAGGCGTGCTCTGCTCTACATTTTGTTATTTAAAAAAATGGCAGGGGGAAGGAGGGCGACTAAGGATACTTTCAATAAATCAGCCCTGAAATACTGTGGTTCCCAAAGTGTATACTTTTGTTTTAAAAAGAAATCCAAGAGGAGTAACATGTATTGCATTTATTTTTCAAAAAAAAAATTAAAATATATCAATGAGCCAAATAAGTATATGCATTTAAAATTCCTCAATATTTAAAAATTTAAATACCTGTCATGACTGTTTTATTAAAAGCAAGAGTAATCTACATTCACTTAAGGTTGGCAAACACTAGTGCCAGGCCAGAACATCAAACGTAGAAGCAGCTATAGGCTCCGGTGATGTTAGGTGATTTTGCTAGATTCTAACAATGTTAATATTTATCATCCTCTTTGTGTCATGTTTCTAAGAGGAATGGTTTTGTTTGAAGATTTTTTCCAGAAAAGCGTGCTGTTGGTGTTTACAAAATAATGAGTTACCTGAATAATTAGCGTACGCTAACAGGCTTCAAACATCACCACATCGACTTTGTTTAGTGTGTGCCTTCAACACGCCCACAGATCCAGTGTCTCAGTCACCTGTAAGTGGAGCGGAGTCATGTGTCGCTGCAGCTGACACAAATCGCACAAACATCACGGAGCAACCTAATTTCTTTGATACACGTGCACATCTTCAAAGCTTTCTGCTTTCTCTTTTGTAAGCAAATGATGAGAATCCGATTAGGTTTGCCTTTCAGAAATGGTTCGCCACGGGCGTAAAGGGGCCGCAGGTGAAAAGGACAGGCTTTCAGGTTTCTGGAAACATTAAGAACTGTGTTTAGAAAAGGACTGTCTAAAACCCTGCTAAATTTTGGTTGATAGTTATTAACTACTGGTAGTTGGTGTGTGTGTATATGTATATATGTATATACACACACGTATATACACATTTACATATGTATACTATATGTGTACATGTACATATATAATTTCTACCTATAGCTCCTAATTGTGATTTCATTCAGAGATATATACATATGTGTAGATATGTACATGCTACATACAGACTATTTTAAAACAAAACAGAGAATGCCTTGAGCTATCCAAAAACTGGAGGAAAGATTTTAGGGGTCAAAGTAGCTAAGGGGGAACTGGGGTAGCAAAACAGCTATGCCTAAAATTAGGCATAAACAAAGAGAAGAAAGTGTGGAACTTGCAGACACATTTAGACAAATATGTTCCTTGCTTTTCTAACTGAAAAGACAAAAGATTCAAAGGAAAGCTGTAAAGATTAGGAAGTAATTGAAAAATAAGGCGCAAGATGAAGTGCGGAGGTGAGGAGATGATAGAATAAGCTAATAAGCTTTTCAACGGGGGATACCTGTTTCCCATTCTAACCAAAAACAGTAAAGCTCTTATTTCCCCAATATTTAATAATTTACAAAATCTCCTTGATATCATAGCTCATATCTTGTGTGTTTACCTCATTGCAGCTTGCAATATAAGACCTTTAAGTATCTGAATATGTCTTGGAAAAGGAAAAATGGTCTTGCCTATTGTTGCTGAGGGTGGGTTTTGTGACGGTTCATTCTCCAGTAGCACCCAGATGAAGAGTTCACCATGCTGTGGGCTTTAATCCATCTCTGGCACATAGTAGGTACTCACTGAGTATAAAACTATGGGATCTCTCTATGACATGTGGTTCTCAGTAATATTTCATGACCAGAAAAACCAGAAATTCCATGATTTGGCTTACCTGTAAAAGAGAAACTAGATTTCTCTAACTGAAATTGTTAGAGTTCTCCCTCCTCAGGTGGCTCCTGAACATATAATTTAGGAGGCTTAAGACTAATTTCAGTTAAAGGGTTGTTGCAAATGTTCTACTTGCTTCTAGAAAAAAAAAATATATAGCAAAGATTCCAAAGAAAAAATGTTCTCTTGTCATTTGGTTGAAAAGGGGAAAGAAAACTAACAATTTTGAGTAGAACTTCTCACGACTTCATTTCTCATTTACCTCAAGGAGAGATGTTCTTGCATGAAATCACAAAATTATTCATTCAGAAGGAAGATTATTGAAGCCCTTGCTAAAAATTTTCCTCAGTTATGTAGGGGAAAGCCACTAGAATATGAGCTTAACTCTCTGGGAAAATTAGATTTGATGGAATTTGGTCATGGGTGTTTTTCTAAATAAAAATTATTCATTTATACATTAAAATATCCAAATAATTGCTATGCCCATTGGCTGTGATAATCCAATTATTTTTTATGTGAACATGAGCTCTGGACTTAATTATGTCCAATGGAGAGAGGCTTGTAAAATACTAGGTGTGAGTAGAGCCAATGTTCTAAATTTCAAGCACCAAATAAATGTTTAACAAGTTACTGTGAGCTACACTCAACGTTTAAAAAAAAAAAAAAAGTAATAAGAGCGAGAGAAAGAAAGATCATATAAGGCCACCGTAGTTCCTAAGCAAGTTCTTGCCATCAATCTGTGACAGAGACATTAATGTACTGCTCATGCTGGGAAACGTGAGGGCTTCTTTATTTTAAGTATACTGGTATTTGCTTGAACAAATATGTTATTATTCTAAATTCGGTTATTTTCCCCTCCAGCAGTCCTGCAATATGGCAACTCTCTGTTCAGTGCCAAGCCCGTTGTTTTCAGATTTCCGACTCTCCTGAGGGACACACAGACCGGGGGGGAGCGCACACTGACAGCGATTTTGTAAACCAACCCCCAGTTCCCAACAGCACGAGCTTTCGTTTCCTCTGGTTCTGCCTTCTGTTTCTCAGACTCAGTGTCTGCTGGAGGGTCTGAGCCAGACAGAAGCAAGACCCAAGGGTAGGGCAGCCCGATGTAGCAAATAAAAGTACAGCACAGGTCACTCTATTACATTTGAATTTCAGATAAACAAGGAATAATCATTTTAGTGTATTCCACCCAATACTTGAATCATATTCATACTAAAAATGATCTGTTTCTATGAAATCCAAATGAAACTACATGGCCAGTACATTATTTGCAACCCTACCCAGGGAGGACCGTACTGTCTCTAGGAAGCCAGAGACTCTCTGATTTTGTAGAGCTGACAAATTAAGGACACACCTCCTACCCACAACACAAAGTCTTAATCAAGTTGCTCCTGTGTCTTCTAAGCCAGATTCAGGCCCAAGGATGAGAATAGCGTCCAGAAGAAGCCTCAGAAGGGAGACTTCATGGGCCCCCTGGTCACTGAGAGAATTGGTTATGTGTGTGTGTTGGTGAGGATGGGTAGGTGTTTCATGTGTCTCTATTCTTAAGCTCTTCTGATTATATTTTATAGGACATGCTATTCTTTATCCAGGGGTATGATGAGTCCTTTTCCCAGGTGTATTCAGAAATACCTTATGCCACTGTTTTTAACACCTCTTGTTATTTATCCCAGTCTGGGTCCTCACTTTACACCTGTCTATTCCACAGTTTGCTCACCGGTCTCTGCCCCATTGGCTGTTCTATCCAGACACATGCAGCCATACTGATCCTTCTAAAAACAGACCTAACACTCACAAGGTACAGGACGAGCTTCTTACAGGGGCAGACAGGGTGCTCCATGGCCTGACCCTAGCATTTCTCTCACCTTCAGCTGGCACTCAGACCACGCAGAGCACTTTGTAGGACATATAGTTTTCATTCATGCTTCTATGACTTCCTACATGGTCCCTTTTACCCAACTACCATTCTTAATTCCTGAGTATAAAACCCTTACTTAACCACCCTTCATGGCCTACTAGCTCCATGCTGTCCCTAGCATGGTTTTAGTAATTCTCTTCTGTATTCCCACTGAATTTGTTTACACCTCCCCCAGACCCTCTCATCTATACTAGAAATATTATTTACATCTGTCTCTCCCTGGACTGAGTTCTGTTAGGGAAAGCCCTATAACTTACTCATGTTTGCAGCTGCAATGTCCAGCTCTAGCAACAGGTGCTCAGTTAGAGTCCATTGTATGAATGGAAGAAGATGTAGAGAAGGGAGAACTGACTCCTCTATAAGTATGAGGCATGCTGCCCATGACCTCTCTGAGCCAAAACACACTAGGAATGGGTTGAAAGTGTCTATCAACATACCTGTGATTCTCCCTAAGACCCACAGAGTAGAAAATTAGTTCCTATTTAGAACATAAGGCAGAATTATGAGGACTCTACATGCACTGTATCACACTAGAAATGATG